CACGCTAGTCCTTCCAAACAACCTGCACCCGCCACGGCTGCAGGGCTCTTGGAATTGCACGGCCGCTTGTGGAGCCCGTCCCTCACTCGTCGCCCCGCAGGCCTTTCTCTGCCGCGTACCTGCCACGCGATTTGTCACACCTACCTCCGACCACCGCAGTCTTGACTCGCGCAAGGAAAACAAAGGTAAACCAAACAAAGCAAAGGAGTCGAGGCAACTTATCGCATCCTTGTTTTTCGGTTGCCTCAAAGTGATGTGGCCATGGGTCAAATTCCTGTACCCCCAGTGAACATCCAAATCCCCACTAAAATCGAATAAAATGGGTGGTGCACCTACCCCAAAATGCAGCCATGTGAGCTTGATTGTAGCTCCCTGGTTCTCCAGTCTTCGAAGTATCATGGTCATGGGCCGTTGCCTCAACGTAGGCAACGTCTTTTGATGGGAAGGAACCGCAAATTCCAAGGGACATGTGGGTCTATCTGGTTTTGAGGGTACCCGTTCTTGGTGGGTTTTGAAGGGGAAACCACAAGGAAAGCAACAAGTTTGGAGAGGTCCCCCAAAAAAAGACACCTATGTAGAATTGTTGGCAATGTCCGGTATCTGTGCCACGGGGCAAGTATCAACTGCGATGGATTGAAGCCTTGCAAGGCTTTTGCTAAGGCGCTGATGACAACTGCGAACCCAGCTCCTACTCACACTTCACAGAGGAATTCTAGTCAGAACAAAGCGCACATAGTAGGCTAGCATTGCACCGCCATATCAGTGTTTGACAGTTTTGACGTTGCACACCCAAAAAATGTTGGATTCTGGAATTGAGCAACACAATCGATATTGATGGGTGTCCGAAGAATGCAAGGTCTGGATTTACAATGGTGTCCAGTCTCTTTTCTGCAAAACAGCACAAGCCGGGCCTTCAAAACATGCAACGCTTCGGCTGGGGCCACGCCACGCCTGGAAAACGATGCAATGCCGACCGCACCCCCCAAAAAAAGGCCGAATCTGGCGTGGCGCACATGTAGTGCAGCTTATTGACGTCCTCACCTCCGATCACCTGGCAGGCTGGCAGGCGGGCAGGCTGCACGGCCCCAAATCGCCTATTGGAGATACAGGGGACCTTTTTTTGGGGATCTCAGCTTCAACCACTTCTGTAGCATCCTGCAGTCCATGTATGTTGATCCCTGATGAACAAACTCCCATGTATCATTCAGGGGGGCTCCGTTTTGTGGGGATCGCTTTCCTCCAACAAGATCCCCTGATTGGCAACTGCGACTTTGCTTCAAGCGATGAGGCGATTTCCGGCTCGACCGCTTCCCCTTTTTTCCTTGCGGGCCTTGGTCCAGCCCTTCTCGTGAACCTCAGACGGGTCAGTGGCTCCATCCCACTTGAGGCAAGGTCTGTTGAGTCTGCACGAATACCTGCCTCCAAACCACGGTCCTTGACAAACACTAGGTGGGACAATGCAGGGGATCTGTCCTGCAGACCCTGCTTTCACTTAGGGGCCATCATCTTGTGGCTCCTTGCACAAAACGGGCAGCGCTGGCAGGGGGGCATCCCAAACTGGATGGGGGACTGGTCAAACTGCTGACTCATAAGAGCTTGGTGCAACAGCTTCGGAAACACGGGGATCAGTTTGGTTGTTTGGGACACCCCCAAATCAACAAAGTATGTTCCGCAACCCCCACTCGTTGACACGGAAACATAGATTACGGTCGAAGAATTTGCCCCTTGCATATCTTAGCAACTCTCATGCCATGTCTTATGCAAGATCCCTTCAACGTGCCGCTAGTCTTCCCGTCGGTGTTCCTGGAGTGGATGTGTGTGTGTGTGTGGATTGTCAACATTGTGGTTCTTGACACTTGCAGGTTTCCTGCCAACCAACGGCTCATTGCTTGCTGAGAGGATTCTGGCAGGCTGCTTGAAATCCAAGGCCATAGTACCCGACTAATCAGTGCAAAATCCTTTGCACTGCAACCGGTGTTTATTTGCTTTAAACATAGATGGACGTATGGGGCACTTCTGCGAAGTCCTCAGCAAAGCTTCCGTTATTCTAAGGGTTCCTTCCGCGATGCGTATTTCTGAACAAGTGCTTCCGCCGCCTTCCGTGGCGTGCATTGTTACCAGAAGGTTACTTCCGCAAAGGAATGCGCATGCATATCACACAAGCAAACACACTTTTTGCTTGGGCAAAAACCACAAAGGAACCAGCTTCCACGGTGAACAAACCTTCTACAAACCTTGCGTTGTTGCAGGTGGTACTTGTGTTGCTCATGTCCACCTCTACACATGTTTGCTTGAGCGGGAAGAAAACGCCACTCACATGAGCAAGCTGCGTCCTTTATTTGCTGCAATACTGATGTCTGGCAAATCCTCTTCTCAAGCAGATCCCCAAGCATGTCTCAATGATGAAGATTCGTCGCAAATGTTCCCTGCTACCCGCATGCTCAGGCTGTACATTCCTCTGGGGACCAACACGAATGGGCTACTCTGCATCCAGAACGTCACGACATCAGGCAATCGGGGATCCTAGCGAAGCGCCGACAAATCATAAGTCTTCGTGTGACTGAACGAAAAGCAATGTGTCAAGCCACAAAGTCAGCCACCCAACTTCTAGTTGACAACCAAACGGGAGGCTGCCAGCAACTGGACTAACCTACGTCACTATTTGGACCAGCAGTGGCACTTTTCCTAGTTTCTTCCCGAAACTGACACGTCAATGTGTGTGTGTGTGTGTGTCTACGTGCGCGTGTGCACGTGCAAGGGTGTTTGTGTGATTGTGTGTTTGTGCGTGTATGTGTGCTGCTCGTGCATGCGCTTTTGGGTGTGCCTTTGTTTGTGTTTGTGTTTGTGTTTGTGTCTGTGTTTGTTTTGTGCTTGTGTGTCGAGTCATGCGATGAGCCCCAGCCATCCCAAAACCGCCCATCTGCGTGCTCACTGGTTCGGGGTCATTTCATTGCTGGGTGATGCTGGGTGGCATTCTAGCTTGACTTTTCCTGAACGGGCATCGGGTACTGCAAGGCAGGATAGCCTCCCTTCATCACGTGCGGAAGTGCAGCCTTTGCGAAGAATAGTGGTTCAGGGTTGTGCACAAAGGAAAATCAAAGTAAACCCGCCAGTTGTGGGCTCGATTTAATGGAACCCTGGTACGTGGAAACATGGACCAAAACCTGCCGTTATATGGTGGTTGATTTTTTGACCCATAGCCACATGGGTGTGGCTCAAATTAAACAGGAGGGGTTACGCAGGTTTTGGTCCGTGTTTCCACTTACCAGGGTTCCATTTTGGTACCGTTTTTTTGACTCACAGCCACATGTTACAAACCGGATATCTTGGCAGCGACTCCGAGGCGCGTGGTAGACGCGGACCACGCCGCCGGAGGCGCCGTCCCGGTGGGTGGCGTGGTAGATGGAGCGCCGGCCCAGCTCCACTGCCTGACCAAGTCATGACCCGAATGGGTGTGCCTTCTGTTTTTGGGAGAGTTCCCCAAAATGATGGTTGTCTCTTGGCTCCCCACAACAAAGAAACACACAACAACAGGGGGTACCCAATTGAAACCTTTAAACCAAGAAAGGGGACCCCCTCTGAAACCCCTGTCTTTGGAGTGTATCGTTTTTTTGGAGAGGTACCCCCAAAAAGATGGTTGTCTTTTGGCTCCCCCCCCCCTAGGGGGGGAGCTTTTTGGGAAACCCACAAAGGGGACCCCCTTTTGAAACCCCTGTAGCGAGACGGTTTCTGGTTCCCCCGTTGAAAGGAAACAATTGAGGACGTGCCCTCCCACCCCTGAGGAGGAAAGTTGCTACCGGGGTCTGTGCACTTCCATGGTCGGGAGGGTACCCCTTGTTTGGCGGTTTTCAAGGGGAACCAAAGGAAAACCATCGTTTTGGGCGGGCTTCCCCAAAAACGACACACCCAAATCGGCAACCCAAAATGGTCTCCCAAGAGGAGACTCCTCCAAAAAACAATGGCTCTTTGCATACGCGGAGTTGGCGCTCTTTGCATACGCGGATTTGGCATTATTAATTGGTTTGAGCTGAAACTGCACGCTACTTAGTTGGGTAGTAAGTTGCCAAAGTTGACTAGTAGTTAGCTAGTTGGCCATTGGGCAACAACCTGATCTACAGAAGTAACTTAGGTAGAAAATTAGTTCGTCAGCTGGCTGGCTATTTTGACAAATAGTTATTTCAATTAATTAGTTGGTTCAGAAGCTACTGGACTGAATCTGCTAGGTTGCTGATTCGTTGGCTGGAGAGTCAGCTAGCTAGTGAGTTGGCTCATTCGTATTTGCCTGGGAGGGGCGAATTGTTGATGGTTGACCCCAGGAAAGACCGCGCCCCACCCCCCACACCTGCGCACTCAGCAGAGCTAGCTTTGCCGCTCCGACGCATGCAAAACTGCGAGAAAACACTGCATCTCTGCGCTGTTGTCTAGTTTCTTCTCACGTGTTTGCGCATGGTAGGACAGTAAAGTGCCGCACCGTGGAAGTTCTTCTAAACTTCCTTTGATTGTCTTGCCGTAGAAGAGAGTGAAAACGAGGCAATTCATGCTAATCGATACTTCAGGATTGGAGGCGTTCAACTCCAATATAATCTCCCCTCCAAACAATGATGGAGCTTTTGTTGATTGAAACGAGGGTGGACTGAACGAAAGAGAAAAAGTCACCAGACCTTGTGTTTTCAGTGCACCAATCTTCCAAAACATGTGCAAAGTCCAAAACACGTGCTGAAATAGAGACAATTCGGGTCTCGCTGCCTCCTCTACGGTGAGGTCATGGCGGTAGCCGGTGTCCAGGACGCCGTAGGCAAAGGTGGAGCCGGATCCCACCTGAATGTTTGGCACAAACTGGGGAGATACAAGCGGGGAAGTCCAACCAATATAAACTCATGTGCTGCAAGCTCTGGCTTCGCTGCTCAAATCACAAGCGACAGGCGAAGTCCAACCCGGCTCCCCGGCCGCAGATTACTGCAAGGCGTGAACTACCGCTCAAGCAGAACTTAACATCCAGT